TTGTCATTTAGTGGTAGTTGCCAGCACTCACGATGATCCTGTCGAGCTCAATCGGCAGTTGCTGTTTTACTCGCAGATTCTGCAACGATGTGCGGCGAGGCCGATGTCGTTCTGCGGGATTCTGTGCGCGAAATCCAATCGTGAAATCGTGACAGACGAGATACTACCGCATCGACAGCTTGCTTCGTATCGTATGCGAATGTCAAAGCTCGATCTTGAGAGGCAGAGGGTCACAAGCTTATTGCAGACGGTGTCAAGCGCAGCTTCGTGTCTGCATACACGACCTGCAACGTTTTATACGCGCAAATGGATCCAACTCGAGATAAGCGCATCGGGTCGTCCACTTTGTGCCTGCAACAATCGCACACGAAGTAATACCGGCCCTTTCACCGTAACATCGTTAGCTGACCTTACACACGGCAGCAGCACATTATCAATTCTCTTGCTGCTCTCCTTCCTGTTTCGCCAAGAAGAGGAGAAGGAAATATACCCCGATACAGCAAAATAGGACATAGCTGTGCGGTCCTTGCAGCCGCCCTCACACTAACAGATCAAGGAAGTAATCACGATGGAGATGGCTTCTCTGGAGACAAAGGGAGAAATCGTGTTCGGGCGCTCACGTGGTTTCGAGTGCATACCATTCTTTTGTACGCGCATATGTGCGCTGCCTGTCGAAATACAATCATGCCCATTCTCGCCGTTTGCACGGCATTCGTATTTGACCCGAAGCTAAATCGCATATCCGGCCGCATCGAACGTGTCAGTGGGCGGGCGTTTCGCAACTAAAGGAAGCTGCTCCTTTGCTTGTTGGCCGGTAAAATCGTAAGTACTGCCGTATTACGTGCGATGTGCCGCCTGGGTTCGAACTAACCACATGGAAGTTGCATGTCGTGAAAGAGGACATTCCAAATAGCAAGTCTGTAACACCTAGAGCGATCAGATCTACAAGAGCACGTCACGCTACAGTCTGCATGTCATTCTGAAGAGCAACGGATGATCCGATGTCGATTACTCGTCAACCCCGCCACGATTTGCTTGTTCTTTTCTCTTACGCAAGAAACCATCCTTTGACTACCGTGAGCACATGTGAAGCACTTGTTTCAGCCGATATGATCCGCAGTGTCACTGATCTCCTTCATGCGGCCAACTAGGATGCACAAAGGGTCGTTGTAAAATCCATGTACGACACTTGCGTTGCACATGCTTCGCATACGTACCAAACTCTATGATGCTGCTTGCTGGAAGCAACGATGGCAAGAGGAAACATGAGCTGCCCTAAACGACCGTAATACAGCCGGATCGGTTATGGTCTACCTTTCGTATCCTTCATACATGAGTTTTGGTAACGTAGATGACTCGATCAAGACTAGTCAGCATTGGGAACACAAAGTGTCCTCAAGCTCACGATTGTAGTGCACGTTATGCTTTTGAGGCGACTAGTGTTGGTAATGGAACTCAAAAGTTTGATCTCGTAGTGTTCGTCCATCATCTATACGTGCTTGGCATTACCGTAGATGTCGACCAGAATGATGCTGTCAATGTCAAGTACATGCGGCAGATGTCCATGTGTACCTAACTACCCAGTGTTTCATCCGCGGAATACGTGCAACATAAGATCATAATAGAATCAACACAATGAGAAGCAACTACAAGATATATTGGTGGTAGATATCAACATCGGACACTGCACGACACAACGCACGCTTAGAGAATAGCACTTTCTCTGTTTAGTGCCGATGGGCTGTAGGCACAGGCACAACATGTCCGATGTACGTCATCTTCTACTACATAGCATCGCTAGTATCCGTCAAGAACACGTGTTTTATCACGGTTGTTGTAGTGATTGCTCTGGACGCCGTGAAGTTTACGCTCATATTACTTGCACGAATAGTGAAAAGTAACTCGGACAAACGTTGCAGCGCATATTCAAGCAGTGTTCTTGCACCGCTTGTGCTTCAAAGTCTCGTATCCGTTCGAGTGATGTAGAAGGAGATCTTGTTTGCTGGTACTTCTTTGAAGACACGGTATTATCTGCGAGAAGCGAGCAAGTGCTGGTCAGCACTCATATTTTGTAAGCACATATGTTGGTCAACGCTGTCTTTGTACAGCAATGCTGGTCAACATTATCATTTTTATCGTATGGCCGACCTACTTCCAGAAAACCACCACGGTAGGTCTCTGATAGAGTCGAATGAAATATTAAAGAGGGTAATGAACTGGAACGAGGTCGTCATCACATGAACACACGATATTCCGTACCAAAGATGCTACGCGAGTAGGTCCTTTATCCACGACAGTCGCTTCGTGCCGTGGTAGCATAAGCTGACGGACTGACTTGCTTTGATATGTGATATGCTCGAAGAGGTCGTCAAACTGTTCGTCGCAGTCGATACGATAGACGAGACCCTATATCACATTCAGTGGTGATATATCGGATGCGTCCAGATCCCATACGTCGTACAGAATCATCTGTAGGGTTAGGAAACATCTGCATTTTAGCTCGTGATTGTGATTGTTACGCCAGTTTCAATGTCATACTATATTACCAAAATGGGATAATTACGAAAGATGAGCACGTGCGAAAACTGAATACCCGCTTCTGAACTTCCCAGTCTGTCACTACAGTAAAAGAACCCTCACGCCATTTACATCAGCATAGTCAATCAACAAATCACCTCCACAAAAGCAGAGGAAAACTAGTCGGTCATAGACCGTAATATTAGTAACCCACACACTACCCTAAAAACATCCATGAACTCACGCTTCATATGTATACATACATAGATCGCTGAACACGCCGGCTACACGATGCTCGCACAGATATGTAAGTGTTCGGAATACTGTATCAAAAAAATCAAGCATAAAGGAGAGTATAGCCAGACAGATTGTAGCATGAGCACGGACCACTGGCTGATGTACAAACGGTCGCACATACACTTCGTGTAACAAGGTACGCTCGTTACATTTTGATATTATTACCAAATATCAACGCAAATATTATTGAAGGAGATACTATTATCGGTATGACCCGAAAAGGTGTAATACGTAGCAATTCCGTTCACTGGGTTGATAGCGGCCTTCCACACAAAGTGTTCAATCAGTGACGGACGCGCGCAACTTATTGTGCGCGATTGATAGCAGTTTATGGATGTACAAAGACATCGTTTAAGCATATTGAAATTGACTTTGGATTCCACGATTGATCACTAAATACCCTTTCAATTCCCCTTTTTACAAATGCGTTTGATAGTTGTTCCAATTTTCTACGCACGTACGCGCACGTGTGGATTGATGCATCCTCCGACATCTGATGTTGTGACGGTCAAATTATAATGTGTTCCATACATGTCGGATGGACCGTTACACTCCGCGCCTCGTAATATCGTAAAATGATCTTTTTATCAACTGCTCCGTCACTTAACGAACTCGCAGATGCTGCTTATACAGCTGTGGTGTCAGACAATGATACCAATACCGTATATATGCATACACCGCACTTTCGCAATGCGCGGGGTAGCTCATAAACAAAAAAGAAGCTTAGATGCCACGAAACACCGTGTCGCACAACTCGACTCTACACTTTTTACATCTTGATCATTCATAATATCATGAAACGGATATCACGGGCAGGTGACATTCGGACACATGGTATTCACTGCAAAAGCGACGAGAAGAAGGAGAAGAAGGCAATGCTTACCAAGCACAGACGAGGACGATTGTCGGGATTCATGGGCTAGTTATGGGCTTGCACACCCATTAGAACGTTTAGCGCGCGAACGTCAGCACCACGCGATGAGTAATCTCTCGTCTTTGCTTTCGCATTTCTAGACCTTCGATGGTTGCCTTTCGCTTATCAAAGAGCCGCATTCGACCGATCATACGCACCGCAGCGCGGAGTAATGTGTCCTCATCAGGACGACCATACCCTGCTAGTGTCCGTCCGCACCGCACTCATCCTTGCCAAGATGGATTGGCTAAAAATACAAGATCAGGAACACGTGCTGCATAAAACGTGTCAAAGGCTTTTTTGCAGTACCTGGTCGAGTAAATGCTGCTTTAAGCACATGCAAGGTCCACCTAGGACACCATCAGTTTATCCGACCAAAGAAGGTCAAATTGGAACAGAGTTCCAGTAAAGTCGCCGGACGAAAAGCTCGAATACTGCCTGCCAACTTATGCAACTACTTTTGCCGATCTGTTGCTAGTATGAGCAATCTCGACGTAGTTAGAGTGTACACGTCTGTACTTGGTCACTGACAACATCCTCAAGTTACGACAAATGACAAGTATGTGAAACGGGACATCCCAAAGGAGCACCGTCTTAGCAAACGGAGAGCGAACTCATTACACGCCGAACCGTCCAACATGCTTTCGACTCTTACGCTTGGTAGCAGGCTCATCCGCGATGAAACGCAATGACGCCACTGCGTATCTGACTGAAATGACGATGGTAAACACTATCTGGACCCGAACGAGTTCCTCTCACTTCACCAGTGCAAGCGTCATTCGATCATCTGGAAAGCGATTCGGGGTCACAGTGTTCAGGCGCTAGACACACCCGTACACTTCTATCTACGTGTTGTGGTGTTCCCATCATACAAAAGCGGTCGATCGCGCATTCGTCAGCAAAGTGCACCATCACTTAGCCAAGCGTCATAGCAGTCTGTCGTCCAGGAACTGACCCACACGCTTGTTCAGATACTCTCGATGCATGAGCCCACAAAAGGTGGCTCACGTAGCTGTGGGAATCTGATCAAAGATCAAAGCTATATACGGTTCAATGAGCACTGGACTGCTTCTCTTATCCATCTCAAGTGCCCAAAGGAGGAGCTTCCAGCGCCAAACGCGACACCAGAGTGTAGCGAACGAAGAAAACGAAACAGTGGCAACATACACAATACCGCTTACGATCACCACGACACTGACCAGTCCAATGAGCGACCGTCACTCGCTCGAGGGAAAGCGTACAAACTAGTGACAGTAGCCATCACCGCACTCTCATGGGTAAGAAACGACTGGATGTCGGACCTGCGGCGCGTAAGGAGCGCCGACGCAGTCGCAGCAACGGCGCTGAGGCCCCGTCGGGTCGTCGCGACGACGAGAGTGAAGTGAGCTACCGCCGTCGTGCGTTTCCGTTGACGTTGCGCATGTGGGACTTCCAGCAGTGCGATGCCAAGCGCTGCACTGGCCGCAAACTCTGTCGCTTGGGCTATATCAAGAGCATGAAGCCTGGTATGCACTTCCGAGGGCTTGTGCTGTCGCCTGCAGGTGAACAGGCCGTGTCTGCAGCAGACCGTGAGCTTGTGGTGGGCACTGGCATCTCTGTGATTGACTGCAGCTGGGCCAAAGTGCAGGAGCTGCCGTACAAGCAGCTCCGGTCGGGCGTGCATCGTCTGCTGCCGTTCCTCGTGGCGGCAAACTCAGTGAACTATGGACGTCCGCATAAATTGTCGTGTGCGGAAGCGATTGCCGCGACGCTGTACATTGTGGGGCTGCAAGACGAAGCCCGTCAACTCATGGGCGAGTTTTCCTGGGGCGCTGAGTTCCTCAAGATCAATGCAGACTGTCTGGCCGCCTATGCATTGTGTGAGAACAGTGCAGAGGTGGTGAAGGCGCAGGTATGACGATGCAGTGTCATGGGGTGGAGGTTGAATGCCGATGGGTGTGCTGATGCAGAGGGGTCGTGGGTTGTGTCGTGTATGCGTGTGTGCGAGCAGAACGAGTACTTGGCTGCATGCCAGACCGAGCACAAGGAACGTCAGCAGCGGATGAACTTGCCGAGTCTTGAAGAGAGTGACGAAGACGACGGCGACGAGGACGAGGACGAAGGAAAAGACGTGGAGCTCGATCGCTTTGGCAATGTCGTGGTGCCTTGTGCAGCGCCAACTGCAGTTGAGATGCACGATGGTTCCGGTAGCCAAGACTCGGACGAGGAGCTGCAGCAGCGCGAAGATGTATTGCCAATGTCGTCGTCTGCTGAAGACAGTGGACGACCGGACTCTGACGAAGAAATCACGTGCTTGCTTGGAAACTTGCACCGCGCGGCTGACTCGGTCAAGAAAACGCACAAGATGCGGGAGGAAGCTCGCAACGCCCGTGAGCTTGATAGCGAGAGAGCATATGCGTTTACTTCCATGGAAGACGTTCACCGTCAACAGGTGGCTACAGTATGCTTGGAACGAACGGCCGTGGCTGTATCTGGTGATGCAGTGCTGCAGCTCCCAACGTCAGTTTTCCACCAGTGGGAACAGGACGACGCAAGTCGAGATCGAGAGAAGTCGTAGCGTATCACACACGTGTGGGCGGTGAACGAGCGGTCGCTGGAAAGAGGCTTATGGAAACTGTTGACGCGTCGGTAACCTCCGTGATTTGTCGTGGTGCAAAAAGCATGACAATCGAAAGTGTGCGAAGATGAATGTAAGCAGGCGCATCCTACCCGTGATGTTATATGGCCGGTGCAGCTGTTGACACTGTGCCGTAAATTACTGCTGCTTTCGACCGACATGTTGGCAGTAATCTACTGCGACTCGCACCGAGATGTTAGCAGTTACTTTACCGCTGTTTTCGATGGTGAATAAAATGTCAGCAATGCAGTAAAGTTTTCATACGAACAAAAACGTCTCAAACGCAGAGAGAAGTAAAAGTCCCGCTGTAAAACAATGTCCACAACGTCCAAGAAACCTCGAAAGGAGTTTGCGATGTTTTTCTTCCAGATCTATCGCTAGGTCTTCCTCTCTCAATCACCTGTCATAAGAGCCTTTCTCAACCCGGATGATCTGGGGATTATGTTTGGTCTTGTGTCCACGTCTCTCTCTTTCGATTCTTGTAAAGTGATAGTGTGCGTTTTGCATCATAATCTAGCAAGTTTATCGTTGAAGCAAGCTCAGTCAATAAGATTGCGCGTAGCAGAGCAGGATAGTTACTCCGTGATGTGGATGTGCCACAAAACCGTTGGCGGACCGTGACTGCCCGATACGTGTACAAAGGGAAAGACAGTAACTACACGTTCCTTGCATTTCATCATCAACTGAGTGATGATCAGTAAGGAAAGTACGGTTATTGACGTCACCTATATCAACCTCTTTCTATGTGGCATCGACGCGGCGGAATGTTTCCCAAGAACTGACAATCTGCTATGTAACCACGGATCGCACGAGCTGAACAATGTTTGCAGAATCACCATTGTAGAACGAACTGTGCGCTATAAATTGCGAGTACGGCCGCGCATCATCTCTGTCCAGTCCAAGGCTTTGCTGCATGTGACTGAAGACTTGTAGATCTAAACTTTGTGATTGATACATTGAGACGCATTGGCATCGCTGCCTGAACACGGCGATGAGTCGAACGGGTTCGACACACTTCGTGGCTACGCATTTCCGGTCACATGTGCAAATTACAGGTACAACGCAAATCCTTTGCTGCACTTATCGAGGAGGGTCTCATCATGTATTTTGCAACATACAAGTGCGTCGAGGTCTCACCCAAATCTCTGACATATGCAGTACACCTGCAGCTTCCAGTACCTGTTGATCAGCTGATGTGTATGACGTGCAGGCTCGTGAGCGTTTGCGATTCCGTGGTCATCAATAACAGAATCATCGCAACCACGTTGCAATGTCCCACTCCTGTCGGGGATGACAAAGACGCAGTACTTTGGACAACTACGTGTGTACATAAGACCCCCGGAACGGGCTCTCGATTATTTGAGTTCTGCTTGCTATCGAGAAGTGCAACTCGTTCGGTACTTCTCGTTTGGCTATCCTTTCATTTACTGCTAGTCACATAATGAAGAATGTCAAAATAGATGCAAAGTACGCATGGCATATCCTATGCAGCATCACGAAGAAAGGGCCGGAGCTTCATGAAAATGATGGACACAATAGGAATGGTAGACACAATGGGTCTTGCTTGACTTGGCAGTATTTCATTTCTTTATTTTTCACTAGTCAGTATTGCATAACATTACTCAATCTTGCATTAGAGAAAAAATACGTGGAAATTCCCGTCCTTCCCACGCCGCCTAACGCGATCGTATAACAACTATGATGACTATACCTGGTTTCACAATGCATAATACAATAGCCAGACGTACCATTGCATGCAGTCCCATCCGTTTTCATATTCAATGCTATTTTGGACTCGACTTAGACAAGTCGCTTTACATGCGATCGCGAAATTTGGTTCTTGTTTCGCTGAGATCCTGCAGCCACGTGCAAACCGCTTCGATTCCCATTATACGTTTGTGAAAAATCATTTTTTTGTTTGTGACAACGTGGCATTTCGTCGCACTTCTTACAAATGAACTCGAGGAATTCTCCTTGGAGATATCACAATGTATCCGCGATCCTGCCGACGGACTCGCGATCCTTGCAACATTCCGTAGCAGGCGTGGTCGTCGTTACACTGGGTAGCTGTTGTGTAGATATCGTCATTTGAGGACAGTGGACGACGAATGCGTAAGCCTCTTGTCGAAGCGTATACAACTCTCGTTGCTGAGTGTTTCGTGATGCTGTTGCTAGGATGATGTTCGACTTCAGTATTACATGCTGCGCTGACTGCGAAGTAGGAGGGCGTGTAAGTCTTTCTGAGGGTAACTGTTGGCAGCATAACGCCCACAAGGATGCAGTCTGCTGTTCCTTGTGTGTGATGTGATCAGTCTGATCAATTCTAGTCGATGACAAGGTCTTTTCCATTCGCGTTAACAGTTCACTGAGACAGAAGAAATGTCATTTGACATCTCGATCAGCTAGCTTGTCTGCGCTGGTACAAAAAGAAAGAAGGCTACGAAGTACTTATTTTATTATTTTCTCGGCTCCTGTTTTTCAAATTTATCATCGGAAAAGGCCCTGTGGTCATCAGTGTATCGTCGAGCTCTGATGTAGAGTCCTCAGTCGATCATCGAATTCTGATAGAATGTGTATCATCCCGTTCGACGATGCTGAGGATAACTGGCCGTCACTTATATATATTGGCACACTATACGCGAGTCTACATCGGACGTAACTACAGCCCTGGTCATTCCTGCGGGAGCCGGGTTGGCAAAACGCATTAGCGAATGCGATTGTGTTGGCACACCAAAAGCTTGAGATGAATAAATACAGGCCTTGATGCTGGGCAGAAGAAGCATGGACGCGACTTGATTCCTCACTGTGTCGATGATGGCAAGTCACACGTAGTGCTACTGAGCGCATAATTTTTAGCTCACTTTCAGCAAGTGCAAGCTACCTGTATTACAATGTGCATACGTTCCATAGCACTAGATATATACCACGAGAATTGAACGGAGACTGAGTGCATATATCGAGAGTTAGCCGCTGACGGACAAAAATAAGATGATCCCGTTTTGACATATCTGTTTAACCGACACCAGCGCATAAGTTGCCCTTCTCATACAACGACATGATATGTCCACATCCCAACACCACTTATTGTCCAACAGGTCTCTGATGTGTATGTCAACAAAATCGGTGCTTACATCGACACGCCCATGACACCACTCCCGAATATATCTTCGACATGATGCTTGCTTGCATCAAAATTCTGTAGAAACGCATCATTGCACCGCGTACGGGCACGTACGGATACAAAATGATTTCGAAAGTCGGTGAGGAGCGCAGCGATGTGGGCGACTAGGATGTTTACTGCAATAGGGGTAAAGGGTATGAAATGAAGATTGTATGTTGGACCACGCAATCTGATACACCGCGCGTACGACGGCTGCTTCGCCCATTTTTCTCTGTGTTAGTGATAAACTTCAAATGAGACGATGAGCTAGATATACTGGCCACGTTGTTGTTTGTCCTTTGTTTGTTGCGTGGTCATGCGTAGAAAATGTACCAGGATTCGTTACGACCACAACGCTACCTCTGACTCCATGTGACGGAACGCATCAGACGGGAAGTATTGTTCCAACAAGTACAACTAATTCGTGTTGATCAAAGCGTTGCTCACTGTTGATGATTTTGTGGCATTGTGACGTGCCGATAGCAAGACGAGAAGATGAGAACCATTCCTATGATCCAAAATGAGAACTCCAAGTACATTTGAGTTTACTGCAGTAGTATGGATCTAACTAGTAGCCGCAGTCGCATTTCAGACTCGAAGATTTTGTCGTGTCGACGAAACACGTAGCCATCCGTAGCGAAAGTGATGTACCAGCATACGTGAGAAAGATTGTGATAAACGGCTATGGACATCAACCTATATGCCACCGGATCGACAGAGCTATCGTAGAGCTATCTTGCAGCATACCGGATGATGTACATCGCCATTTTCCAGAATTTTGCTGGCTAGAAGCAATTCCATGGCAAAGTCAGAGCTGAAGCTATCCATCAGGATGACGCAGGAATGGCCGCAGCATGAAGTCAAGTTCACGAAACACAAACTAGCGTGTGACTGCGGAAAGCGTAGCAATACTTTACTGCAGCCATTGGTCGCAACGGAAAGTAGCAAACGCACAACGGACGTCATTGTCAGCTTTGTCGACTCATTGCAGCGCTCGCATGAAGCTGTCGCGAGCTTTTCCTGATTTTCATCTGCATTTGCTCGTACCAATCCTTTTGCGCGTGCGAAGTGCATCTACCGTTCGCGTCATCGTACGCTTAATGGCGGAAGCCTCTGAACGATGCTGCGATCAGCAAATGCTGTACTGATAGACGACGATAAGAAGGACATGTATGTGAAGGACGTCGTGGACGTAGTTAGCAAATTAATTCCGTTTGCGTTTTATACCATCGAGTGAAAAAAAAACGGTTACCAACAGTACTGGGACTATCACGAGATAAGCTTATAAAAACGCTATCTCGAACATTCCTGTTTGCTTCCCTATACACTCACAACAATCGCAATGCAGTCGTCATGCGCCCTGTAGCGTGCATTTACGCAGTACTTCACCATGTTGCAACGAGAGGGAAGTGCTGACCCGAACATGCCTAGCTACGCTATAACTTTACCGTTAGAGCTGTGTTTTTTTTCACGTTATCGTTCTACAAATATCGCATTACAAAAACCAGCAGAGCGTCAAAAGTCACGAAAACGTTTCTCGTACGGCACGCGAGACGACGTCCGATGCAGTCGTATACTTTTCCGAAACGTCAATCTCATCGTCGACTGCTATCCCTCACCGAAAACACAATAAGCTCGGCCGATCATATTCAAGCACGGCTACATTCAGCATAAGTCGTTTCGAAACGCCCGGTCACGAGGTCCCATTGCTGCAAAAAGGTCCATTCTCCTAGACGAGCTCTCGACATCGTCCTCTTTTCCCCCCACTTTCGATCGACCCGTACCCATTTCAAGCGATATCTTCCCCCACGTTCCTTCTTCCCCCTCCACGTCCAAGGGACCAATGGCCGAGTCAGCGAGCAAGAGAGCCCGAGTCGCGGGCCCACGGACGGCGCAGAACCTCATCAACGGCGCGTTTGTGCCGCCCGCCAACGGACAGTACGTGGACGTGATCAGTCCATCGACGGGCCACGTGGTGGGCACATGTGCGCTGTCGGACGATCGGGACGTGCAACAGGCGGTGGCCAGCGGCCAAGAAGCGTTCGCGCAGTGGCGGCGAACGACTGTTAAAGCTCGTGCAGCGATCATGTTCAAGTTCCACGCGCTACTGACGCAGTTTCAAGGTAGGAAATGGGCTCGGTGGATATGCTCTTTGGTAGGTTTCAAGGTTCTCTCCTAGACAGGGGGCACACAAACTGGTGCGCACGGGATAACTTCTTGTCCTGTATTTCTATTTCGTGCTAGATGAGCTCGTGGACCTCGTGGTGCGCGAGAATGGCAAGAACCGGACCGAAGCACTTGCAAGTGTGCTGAAAGGCAACGAGACCGTCGAGTATGCCTGCAGCTTGCCCCAAGTGGTGCAGGGACGGACGTTGCAAGTGTCGCGCGGCATTACGTGCCAAGAAGTGCGCGACCCGCTGGGCGTTGTGGCCTGCATTGTGCCGTTTAATTTTCCAGTGATGGTGCCCATGTGGACGATTCCAATTGCATTGACCATGGGCAATTGTGTCATTCTCAAGCCATCCGAGAAGGTGGTGACGAGCGTCCAGGCGATGTTCATTTTTTTCTGTTGCTTTTGCATGCACGAGCTAAAGATGTTTTGTTGAAATTGGATTCAGGTGCCGTTGACAATGACTCGCGTCGCAGAGCTGTTGGTAGAAGCAGGTGTTCCAAGTGGAGTCTTCCAGGTGCGATCGGTTGGCTGCCACGCTGAATAAGTGTTTTAGGTTGACATCGTGACACACGTTTGTCCATTGTCGTACATGCCGATTGCAACGTCTAGGTCATTAACGGGACGGTGGATCCTGTCAATAGCTTGTGCGATCATCCCGAAATCGCTGCTGTCACGTTCGTTGGCTCAAGTCGCGTCGCACAGCTCGTTGCTCGTCGATGTCGAGCGCTGGACAAGCGTGTGCTTGCACTGGGTGGAGCGAAAAACCACCTGGTTGCTCTCCCGGATGCAGACGTTGACGTCGCTTCCAAGGATATCGTTGCATCGTATGCAGGCTGTGCGGGGCAGCGGTGCATGGCTGCATCAGTCCTGCTGCTCGTTGGGGACTGTTCTGCGCTGCTTGACAGCATCGTTGCGAAGTCAAAAGCGCTGACTCGCGGAACGGAGGCCGGCCAGGTTGGTGCGCTCATTGACGACGCGTCAAAGACCCGCGTGCTCAAGTACATCGATGAGGCGGAGGCTGCGGGTGTGGAGGTGCTCGTGGACGGTCGGTCGTGGGCTCAGCAGTCCTCGGGGTTTTGGGTGGGACCTACAGTGTTACTTCACACGGACCCGAAAGATGCCGCAATGAAGGACGAGATCTTCGGTCCAGTGCTGTCTGTGTATCGCGTGAACTCATTCGACGAGGCGCTTCAGATCGAGAACGACAACGAGTACGGGAACGCGGCAGCGATCTACACGTCGAATGGCGCGTATGCCGAGTACTTCCAGACGCGTTTTCGTGCCGGCATGATCGGGGTCAACATTGGCATCCCCGTGCCGCGCGAGCCGTTCAGCTTTGGTGGCATGTATGGCACCAAAAGCAAATTTGGCGACATGGACATCACGGGCGACGGTTGCGTCGAGTTTTTTTCGACGCGGCGCAAGATCACTTCCAAGTGGAGCGCGGGCATGACCTCGGGCGATGCGGCTAACTTCAGCGGCCAGATGTAGCGCTTCTCTTTTCCAAGAGAATTCATGCCATCGAGTGAATAGCAAGGATTCTCATCGATGCAGCCGCGAGATGCTCTGTCCCGTGTGTGAAGACGCTTCTTCTAGAAGCCCAAATCAATCTTTACAGAGGGCTTTGACGAGGCGTTACGCTTTTCTTTGTTCGATCAGATTCCCGGCTCGGTTTGTCATGTTTTTCTCAGGCGCATGTTTCCAACGAATTTTGCAGGAGATATTCAGTGTGCAGCAAATCGCATACGTGTGACCGCAGTGGATGAGCTACTGCGATCGTGATTACGTTTGATCGGCCCATCGTGCCTGTTTACTTGCTTCAGCTTGTGAACGTGAGGTCACAACGTGAGCTGCTGAATCGCGACCACTCTCCTCGTTTGCCGTGGGACAGTCTCGAGACCACTATCTCCTGCCTCCAGTGTCTCTAGACAAACAAAGAAGACCAATCGTACACCCACAGCAAAGAAGGCGATCGAACGTCGAGTCACGTCACAGGAGCTCAAATGCCGACCATATCGTTCCATTGTGCATCGTCCTGCGAAATTTTCGCCGTAAAGCGCCGAGTCTATGGTACCAATCCGTTCTTCTTCTTGTGGCAAGAGACCCGATGAGGCTGCGACCAGGCGATACGTTTCGGTATGTCGCCGATAACTGAGTCCGTCCGCGGTGGGCTTTTTTTGTGTGCTTCCCCCAGCCACGAGCTCTGATTGTCCATATGATTGTTGCGTGTCAGTCGTGAAGAAAAGAGCTTCTTCTGCTCCGTCTGGTTGCTCCATCGTGTCGAAGTGACGTGTTTCTCGCGACCAGCTGGCAGGAGTTGACTCATTCGTGTAAGTGTACATACCCTCTCGACGCTGATAATAAACTCGACAGTGCACGTGATACCACCGCGGTCACCTCGACCCTCGCAGAATGCATTTCCCCGTCGAATCTTGTGTGCTTGGGAATCCACAGAAGCCCCCGTGCCCATCCCCTTGTTCAGCATTAGACACGCTGGCAGTAGCCCAAAATAGCCGACTCGACGTACACTCACTGACCACAAGTGAGCCCAAACTAATCGGCACTCGCGGCTCGCAATGGCGGACGTCAAGCACTTCGTCCTCCACGTACGTCAGCGCCTCGACGCGCTCTCGTACGAACACCACTCGCAGTACCTCTCGGGTCTGCTGCATGCGACGCCGTACATGCACTCCGTCTCCACGCCGTCGGCCTCGTGTCCGCCGCGCGTGCTGCCCGTTGCAGTGCACACACCGACAAAGCCGTCGCCAGTAGCGTCGCTGCTCAAGTGCGTGGGCCTATCGGCGTTCTACGCGCGGCTCGTGCTGCTGCTGGGCACGGGATGGCTCGTGGCAATGGTCGGCATCTTTACGTTCGTGTCGGCGCGGCCGGCGCCCGAAGAAGACATTGTGGGCACAAGTCCCGCGCAAGTGATTCTGCTCTTTGGCGTCTACTTTATCGGCGGCGCCGTGGGCGCTGTGGCGGGTGGCGCGGGGGCGGACTATTTTGGGCGCAAACCCATTCTACTGGCGGCTTTGGGGTTTGGGCTCGTAACCACAGCGATGACGGCCGGTGCGTGGAACGACGTGTCGTTCATGACGTTGCGCCTGTTGTCGGGCGTTGGCATTGGCGGTCAATTTGCACTGCTGGCGACGCTGGCGCTCGAGTATACGCCCACGCGCACGAGAGGACGCATCACGGTCTTGACGGTATCGATGGCTGGACTTGGCGTGTTGAGTGGCGTGGGGTACGGCCAATGGGCTGGACCTGCGATCGACAAAGGAGGTATCGGGTGGCGATCAACGTGCGGCATTCTCAGTGCGATGGTGCTGCTCTTCACTGCAGTGCTTTATCGGTCGTTAGAAGAGTCGCCCAAGTACTTAGCAAGTGTCGGTCGCACGGACGAAGCGCTGGGCATTATCGAGAGAATTGAGACAGCGCATGGCATCAGTCGACAGGCTCGAGTGACGGTCCCCACGAGTTTGTATCAACCGCCGTCGCTGCAGCAGCAGCACTCTGTGAGCTATGAACAATATGTGGAAAGCAGCTCAGACTCGGACGGTGACTTGGAGGTGGGGCTGCATCGAGGGAATGCACAGGACAACGAGCTGTCAAGCAGAGAAGTACGGGTCGCATCACATGTCAGCTATAACTACGCAGGTCCTGGAGCAGCAGAAGCCCGAAGTCGCAGCCAGCGGTTTTCGGCAAGAAGAATGCAGAGCCGGCACCAGTACCAGCTCGATGACCGCTTGCCAGCTTCTGGTGGTCCAGACGGGCTCCCAGATGCACTTGCTTCAGCTGTGAATGGATCATTTTTGCAAGTACTTGCTTGTCGGGCTGTCGCGCTGTTTTCCGGAGCACTTGCTGTTCGAACAGCGGCTATCTGGTTCTACTGGTTTGCACAGATGATGAGCTTGAGTGCAGCGATTGTGACGGCCTCGGTGATGGCCAAGACGTTCCTCCAGGTCAACCAGAGCGGGACAAGTTTCGGCGCCGGTGATCAGCTCTTTTGGTCAGGCATGACCGTTCCCGGCTTGTTGCTCGCTGCTACAATGGTGGAAAGTGTGGGCAGACGCAGCACATTGGCTTTGTTTGTATCATGTGGAGGTGTCATCTTGTTACTGTCAGCTCTGCTGCTGAAAGAAGATGGAAACTGGATCGGTTTATCACTGGCGTTGGGAGCTATCGTGTTGACAACAAGTGGTACGCTCGGCGCGCTCACGCTCCTCACTGGCGAGCAGTTCAGTATTTATACTCGAGCCATCGGCCTTTCATGTGCTATCGCCTGGGGCCACTTGGGTATGTTTGCTGGTGCGTATCTCGTGCTCCAGCGGGTCATACGTGACGATACTTGGACATGGCACGACGAGCGTGTGGTGTTGGCTCTCTGTGGCGGGGCTTCACTTTTGCTGCTTCCCGTCATTCTTCTAATGGGACCGGAGACACGTGGGCTGGACATCGATGCTATATGGCTCGACGACAACAGCGATCTCGTAGACAATGGGCTCTCGGCGATGCCTAATGACCGCTCGAAACTGATTGATGCACGACACAGCGGCAATGGCAATGACAGCAGTCGCGGAGGAGGTCGCCGAGGCAACGACAAACGTCGTGGAGCGCTGGATGGAACTGATCGAGAGCGTTTGGGATCGTCGCTGGGTCGAGGCCCGATGACCGGTATAGCTGCTCCAGCGATATGCTCTTCGACTTCAGCGACGCTGGCAACGGTACAGTCTTCCGAAGACGGCGACTCGCCTTCCCGCTCTTCTTCTTCGCCGTCATCGACTTTCTGGCAGACGCGTTCCGTGCGCCACCTCAGCAGCAAAGTGAGGCGCGCGGCACACGCGATCACTCGCACATCCGGTGAAAAGCACGTCGTGCGCTTCTCGTCGGGGTCGAAGATGCAAGCGTGCAAAACGAGAGTCTCGAGACGAAAGAGAGGCGACGTTGATGATCGAGGATGCGATACACTGCGTCTGGACAATCTCGATCAGCTCGATAGCATCGTCACGGAGCACGAGTACCATCATATTTATTCGAGCCATGGCCTTCGAGAGGCTGGTCAGTTGCAGCATCCATCGGACGTAGGGCCGACGGAGCCCGTGCTGTTGGACTGGCGTTCGTCTCGTTCGAGTTCCCAGTCAGAGTCTGCGCGCGAGTGTAGCAGCATCAATATACGTAAACAAGAGACCAGTGTCGCTCGTCCAGACACGGCCACCGCCTCGAGACGCTATAGCCGAACAGGGCGATACACCATCGACCTTGACATGTTTGACACGTTCACGTACATTTCGACGCCAGTGCTGGGCGGCGACAACTACTCGGACCACGAGCAGCGCGACCCCAGCAGCCTCTCGTCCGCCAGTGATAGCGAAACGAAGCAGCCAAGCAGCTGATGGCATCACGTGCGTGAGCTCGTGCGAGATGGCCGTATTGGGCGCTGGTGGGGTTCGAGACTCGCTGAGATGAGCTATTGGCAGCCACGATGACGTTGCTTGAGTCGAGTGTGCGTGCTTTCGTCATGTTGAGCTCTTCGAATGCAGCTCTGCTTCCGAGATGCATTGATGCAAGCGCACCGCTTCCAAGACTGATGAAGGTCAGACTGCAGTGGACATTGCAGAGAAAGATTTGCATGGTGTTGAGCTGTGGACATGGCAGCCCTCGTCCGTGGGGACGTTAGTGCTTTGAAGCCACAGCAACTGATGTGTGGCTCAGCAGGTCAAACCCGTGTTTGCGGCTCTTCGTGGCATGTGTAAGTCACCTGCGGCATTTGGACCCGCAATGAATAGCATTGATGGGGCAAAAGTATCTTTTAGATGAATGGAACAATCGCTTATCGCGCTTCTGATCCAGCTGTGTTGTGTTGTCCCGAGTGACAGTCGATGTGTTGTTGACCATCGGTCACATAGTACAAACTGTTCGGTATAGTCGTAGGGGTTAGTCGACTGGACATGGACTAAAAGCATTCGACACACAGGGCCTGGCGTCGTCATCTACAGACTGGAAGTTACATCAGAGCGTACGTGGCAACGAAACACGGCATGAAACGGCGTCGTGCAACTTCGAGACAGCTTTGCCTTGTTCATTCAGATGCATGTGCTTGTGTGGTACATCCGCCACGGTCATCACAGCAAACAGATTGACCGTTTGTGACTAGTGGCTAAACGAAGCGAAAGCTGAGCATCGTAATGCCATAAGGCTATCGATTCGAGCAAAACCCAAGAGTATGGTGTGTCCGGATTAGGCACATGCATCGGAGCTCGAGAATGTGTCATTGACTTGCATTTCAACTTGCTATCGTTTCGCCAAACGAGTCTCTGATGATAAGGTTAGCAGGTTTGAACAGCAGCCTGCGCAGCTTCTCGGTCGTTCGCACACGAGCTGAGACTGATGTAAACATTTGGCGGCCCGTTGGACGGCTTCATCTTGTACGACTGACATATCCTTCGATCACCATCCTCCACCACTTTCACGTGATGTACCATGCTGTAAAGCCCTGCTGCTTTCCGAGTCTTCCACTCACGATGCGTAAACCACCTACCTCGTGCATCGCCTCGTAGCGTCGACTCGCCTACACCACACAAGCCTGGTCTTGCTGTTCGTCCGGTAGAATCGATCTTCACATTCCACTTCAATTGACAAGTCGATCGGTCCTGACTAGCAAGCAAGCAAACCCCAAAGTCCCGATTGACCTCTCAGCTCATGAAATCCTGACACATGCCTCTGCGTCCACCCCTGGCTGTCAATCGCTGTTCACCACTTTGCAGCTTGCCTCTGACTGCAAGACAGCCCGTGCGACACCGTGTCGCAGCCAAACGATGTCGACGTCAGGGACATCGACAAATCTACAGTCCATCAAGCTTTCGTGCTACGCGCGTAGCAACATGACAATCGAATTGTATTCGTGACAACGAGGTGTCGCAGATCAAGCGCTTCAACGTGTTGCAACCGAATGCAGCCAAACAAAATCCATGGTCGTGCCACGCCGTGCATCATTGACTGGCATGCAGATGAGACGAGGCAAACGTGAAGCAAACGTGTGGAATGCGTGGCAAAGATGTGGAGATAGGTTTCTGCACAGCAACCTGCTGCACCATCGATCGTCGTACCAGCACTTGATATACGCCGGAGTAATCGACAACAACTTGGCCCAGAAACGAAGCTTAGATGTTGAGAGGCGACGAAAGAAACGCAGGTATACAAGTCTTCGTATCCGAGCGCCAATGGGTGTGCTTGAGACGAAACAATGCAGTGACTGTCCACAAGCGCAGCAAATCTATTCATAGCACCACCAATGAGTAAACATTGCGGCAAGAAATGATGCAAGACTGCTGCGAAGTCCACATACCTCGCGAACGAGCCTTCCCAGTGCCAAATTAGCAGTACGTGGTAAAACTCCCACGTTCTGACGCTCTTCGAAAGGAGCATCATTGAGTGGATAACCAGCTCCTTCGACGTGCTTGACAGCAAGAACAAACTACAGAGTTTGCTCCCTTGATTCCCACCCGTACCATATGTTCCTTGGGCGGCGAAGCGGTGACCAAATTCGGCTTTGAGCAACAATTGCAGTCATCAATCGCTCAAATCTTCAGACGCCAGTAAAGAGTATCTTGTCCGCTAAGCAAGTCTACGTGGCCTCTTTTTATCACGGCAACGCACATGAAGCGCTGTGAGACTAACGGGTTGTGTACTGAGTCAAACAAATCAGCATTCTCCATAGCTTGACAACCCGTTCACGATCCCCTTCTGGAATAACAACTGCGTCGAAAGTTAATGGTCCAGCCGGTCAATCGGACATTGCGCGATGCCACATGATGTCACGGTGCATCTGCTGTCCGGACGGCCTTGTCACTGGGCAACCTTGCTATCACATATGACACCTGCGACGACGTTATCTCGTTCACGGTCTAGTACACATTGTGCGTTCTCCTCATCGTGATAGAACACGCGCCGGCGAGCGCCACACACGAAGCGCTCTTTCCAGTGTCTGGGCTGTGCATCGGCCAAACACACCCTATTTACCAAACATGGACTTGCGCGGGGCGAGCCGCAGCAGAGCAAGCCGCCTCAACTTCTCATGTCGCGTATCTCGATCAAAGTCTCGATAGGAGCGATTATAGCTCTCGCTTGCGGACAAGCTGAGGCTACCTGCCGGTAGCGGTGCTCATATTCGGCAGCAAGTACTATTCGCTACAAATAGCAGGGATGGTAACGCTGGATCAGCCACGGGTCGCTTGGGATCGAGAAATCAGCTTTGCATCACTGGCATACAACGAGACATCGCTGGACCAAGGCGAAGCTCCGGCAACGATCGGTATAGCAATGAAGCCGTTACTGCAGTCGCCCCTCCACCCTCGTGCTACTCATACAATTGCGACATGCCAAGTCGACTTCCAACCAAGCTTCATGTAGCGAAAACGTTCGACAGACGAGTGATTGGCGTCCGCATGTTGACCTCATCAGCTTATATTGGAAACGGAGACGAAGGCGGTGGTTGCAACTCATCCAGAAACGAATCCACACCATTTATCGTGACATAGTCCAGGTCCGACAAAAAGGTGTTGAATGGCACCAATGCCGACTTGTCTTGTCTTTCCACGACATACAACAGCTGGCTCGGTTTTTTCTGAAGCTCCGTAAGCGAAATGCCAGCGTGTCCCACAAACTCATCGAAACTGAAGTCATGCTTGCAGCAAAAACAAACGATCTGGCGAGCCGACACCGGATTGCGACTGAATGCCAGCCAGCCTGCTTTCCGTGGAAACGAGTCTTCAGGTGCTGGCGTTCTAGACCGCACAACACGATCAGCAAGAGCACCATTTTGCATGTTCATCACATACTTTGGTGACAAACACACGACCTGGGCCACATAGTTCAAAGTTGCTGGATAGACCGAGCACGCTATGGATATAGGCTCACAGCCTTCGAGTTTTGGACGCTTGAACAATGCGAGCGCTTGGATCCTAGACACAGAGGTTTGAGGCACATCCGTAATGGTAACGGAGTTTGTCACAGGTATTGCAGGCGTCTCGGCAGCGACAGGCGCCTCCTGCTTCGTATCATTACTATGGCACGACTCAACGATTGGGATCTCCATACTTTGCCGATCATGCCAGCTTCGGAGGGCCGGCTGGAAATCCCCAAGCAAACTGTACTCAGTGCCGTCACGGTGCTCAACAAACAAAAACGACATTGGACTTTTACTTGCATGTGCGAAGGTGATCAAACTGTTGTCCGTGTGGCTTACAAAGTCATGAAGTATGTACGCCTTGTCACAGCAGTTGCAATGAATTGTTGACTGCTCTTGCGGGGACCACGTGCACTTGCCCGTTTTTGTTATACCAGATTCTCGAGAGCTCAATGTCCGTGAGCACACAACCGGAAAGCACCAGCCACCATTTTTTTCACTTTGCAGCACATCCACAGCATCGATGAGATCATCTCCTGAAAGTTCAGACTGCTTCAGCTCGCCAACAGGCTGCATGTTCATCAAAACATCGCCCCCAAGCGACGCATCTTGCGTTGCTGACGTTGATTGCCTTGAGTTTGGCGAACAAACGATCGGGTCATCAGCCACGGCACTGCTCCCTCGTTTCCGACTGCGTGGTGTCAAATTTGACGATCCCGACTTTGACAGACCTGGCGGTTTCTCACTAGCACTGGAAGTCCCAGTCTTCTTTCTACCGTTTCGCTCTCGTTTACGTCGCCTCTCTAGGTCCATTCCGTTCATCATTTGCACCAGCTTTCGTTGGCGGTAAAGAAGCGCTTTTTCAGGCTGAGAACACGTCACACAATCACAGTCCCACAAGTACCCACCACTCGCGTAGAAATCCGAAAACGCAGCTTTGCACGACGCACAGCAGAAAATATCACCACGACGCTCTGGCGCTTCCAGCTGCAGGCGTTTTATCTGGTCCCAGATGGGCAATTGTTCATCAACATAGGGTTTGAACGCATGGACAAAACACTGCGCGTGGTACACGCGACGACAGGCGCGACAATGCATCAGCACACAGACGTTTGCCTCCTTGTTGCAAAACTCGCAGCACCGATCGCCATCATTACCATCCACACCATCGCTGTCATTCTCCACTCCTGTCGTTATCAAGTCCATCGCCTTTGTCTTGTTCTTGCTGCAAAACGGTGTGCCCCTTGCTGCGCGCGTGTCTTTTTCCTAAGCGACCTCACACTTGTGCTCGTAAATGGCAGTGGAGGGAGATCAGTAATCACCGGGGACAATTCAGTTGGCCTCGCTCTGGACGCAGAGACCTGGCGTCGCTTCCTGACACGTGGTGAAGCTTTCTGGACACTGCCCCTCTCCAACGTATTCCTCGAGGCCCTAACTCGAGATCGCTTTGCAGCTGGTCGCGTTCCTCTGGTCGTCCGCTTTTTACTGTTGTGGCCCATGTCCACGTCCATGTTCATCCCCTCTTCCGCTTCGAGCACAGAGGCACGTGCTTCCTGCTTGGCCTGGCGCGCCATCCCACCAATCGCAGCAGTAGCAGCAGCTCTCGGCAGTCGTATCCGCTCATTCACTGGAGCGTATTCACGTGGTGTCTCAGGAGCTACAGACGCTTTCGCCTCTTCATCCAAACTGGTCGCGTGTGCATCCAGGTCAGTGTCGTCGCTGACGGGCACAATAGGGAGCGGTACAGCTGCTGTTGCTGCAACACTCGCGCAACCGCTTGGACAATACCACGTTGTTTGGGTCGCCTCTGAAACATGGCTAGTGCCACAATCCAAAGTGGCAGCTTTTGCTGCTGCTACTTCAGTCGCCCGACTTTCGTCATCTGTGATCCGACTACTGCCATCCGCCACTTGTGCCACCGTCTGGTCGGTTTTACACTCGTGTGCCTGGATCGGCGCAGACCAATGAACGTCCGTCGACTGCGTCTCCATCGACTGCGTCTCCTGCACCCCGTGCGTGGTCCCCAGTTGTATACGTGTATCCATCGCCACGTCTTGTTCGCGTTGTGGCAGTGCGCAGGGCAGTGGCGCAGTCGAGACGACGTCCATGGGCGTCGCTGGCTCGGCCAACGGCGAGGTCACGTGGGCCATGGACAGCTTGTACACCTGTGTGAAGAATGACAGGAGTTCTGTACGCACGATTTGTCACACGTGAAGAGTGAGTGGAGAGATGCAGGGGATCGAAAAAGGGGTGTGCACAAATTGCTGCTGAACAGAAGTAGACCAGAGAATGCGTTTTCCAACACAATCGAGCTCGCATTTCAGACAGCGTATACGTATACTTCACCAGCGCATGTCAGTCGTACTTGGGAATAAAAATAGGAGCGGCACTTGGCTGCAATCGTATCACGCGGTCGAGCAGCAGGAACCGAACCGCAGTCAGCCTGTAATGTGAGCATGTTTTGGTCCAGCACACGTCGCAAAACGAGTCCATTTGTCACCATAGAGCTCAAAAGAACCTCGCGATACCCACACACGCTCTATCGTCTATTCATTCTCGCAGTATACAAAGTCTGCGCAGCATTGATCCATCCATCGGTGGCAGCACCAGTCAACAACACCTCTGACGTCGTCGTCGTCGTCGTCTCTCCGCCCGTCGCGCCCCCATGTCTGCCCCCGTCAAAGGGGTCGTCCGTCTCCGCGTCTTGGCCGGCAAAGCGAGTCCGTCGCCTGCCATTGGCCAAGCGCTGGGCCCTCTCGGTGTCAATATGATGGAGTTCTGCAAAGCGTTCAACGAGCGGTCGGCCACTCTAACGGAGAACATCCCCGTGCCAGTGGTGCTCACGGCGTTCACGGACCGCACGTTCACGTTCACGACCAAGACGCCGCCCACGTCGTGGTTCCTGAAGAAAGCTGCCGGGATCTCGTCCGGGGCCGCGACGCCCGGCCAGCAGGTCGTGGGCTCGGTGCACCTCCGCCAGATCTACGAGATCGCCAAAGTCAAGCAGCAGGACGAGATGGTCGACTACATTGACCTGCCGTCCATCTGCAAGACCATCATTGGCTCGGCCAAGTCCATGGGCCTCGATGTCGTGCCGTAGCTGCAACAAGACGTGGACACTCTTGACGCACTGGCGTGAATGCTCGAACGCCGTCGAACGTGGCGTCTTTGTGCACACGAGTGGGTTTGGTCGTCGGATGCTGGACGAGAGGAACACCTGCAGAGGATGCGTCGAGATGGCACGCACTGTCCGACTGTCACCACGAGCCTCTCTGCCGTGCTCGACGCTTCGGTCTTCGGTCTGCTACTCTCGCGCTACTTTACTCGAAGGACTCACTCACATGCACACCAAGCAGCGGGTTTGTCTAATAAAGCTGAAGTTCTGTTGCCCGAGCACCACTCTTGCCCTCCGTCCCCACCTCACCTCTGCAGGACATGCCGGTACGCTATAGAGCAGATAGGTCAGCAAGGCTCGCGAGGCAACTGCGAGCGAGTACAACTCGAACAAGTGCCTACCAAGGCGCAGATATGAGTTCACGTGGCTTGAATGGACACAATCTACTCGCCAAGTTCCATCTTAATGTCGCTGTCGCGGAAAATCGAGGTACGTCGTGAACCGACAATGTCGCTTCCCATGTAACTAAAATCATCAAAGTGCATTGCCATGCTGCCCGATCCAGTCGACGCGTCCAGTCCACACACCACCGGCGAATCTGCGACTTCTTGCTGCTTAAAGACATTCGGCACGTACTGCAAGTTCGCATTGAGCGCTGCACTGCTCGTTCGTGCGCGACTTCCCTGCGAGCATTTCGACATCGGCTTGAACGGCGGATCCACTCGGCGGTGCAAGAGTGCGTCCCAATCAACGCCTTTGAACCACGGATGGCCCATGATCTCCAGCGCGCCGTCCCTCCCACAGCCCATGCGCTGCTGTGGGTTCTTGACAAGTAAACGCTGCAGGAAGTCCGTCGCTGTGGGCGAAAAGTGCCGAGGAGGGTACAGAGGCTCCTTGCTCAAGATGTTCTGGAACATCTCGCGGCGATTCTTGTCCCAGAACGGTGTATGGCCTTGAATCATCTCGTACACGAGCACGCCGAAACTCCACCAGTCGATCGTGTTGCCATATGATGTAGCAGTTCGCTGGCTGCACAGCAACTCGGGTGCCAAGTACTCGGGCGTCCCTACAAACGTCGAGCCCTCGTCATCTTCCTTCGACAGCCCAAAGTCCGTGATCGCGACATGCCCTTCGCTGTCCATGAGAATGTTCTCCAGCTTCAAATCGCGATACATAATGTGCATGCTGTGCAAATGTGCCAACGACAGCACGAGCTCGGCCGCATAAAAGCACGCGCGGTGTTCGGGGAAGCGCTTCTCCTTGCGCAGGTGCACAAAGAGCGAGCCGCCAGAGTAATAATCCATCACCAAGTATAGCTTCTGATGGTTTTGGAACGCATACCGCAGGCGCACGACAAACGGGTGCTCGACGTGCTTGAGGATACGCTGCTCCGACTTGGTGTGCTCGACCTGCTTTTTCTTGAACACGTCCTGCTTCCGCAGCACTTTCATTGCATACACACGACCAGTGTTCTTCCCGTGCTTCTTCTTGGCCAGAAACACCTTGCCATACGCGCCTTTGCCAACCACAGAGAGCAAGTCAAAGTCGTTCACGCTCATGGACGTGGAAATGACCATACTACGTCGTGAGCTGCGGGTGCTGTTCGTGCGACGACCCATATGGTTGCCAAAGCTCGACGTTTCCACCTCTTCGCGAAACTCGGCATCTTCCAAGTGCTCCAGCTGATGCGACGCCGACGAGATAGCTGCTGCACCAGCGTACGCATACTGAGACAGCCGCTTCATTTCGTCCATCAGTTCATCATCTGCTGGTTCGTCTGGCATCGACCCTCGCGCACTGTCAAAGAACGCAAACACCGTGTGCATACTCGCCGCAATCGTCCACGCCGTATTGGACGACTTTTGCTCCGCGGGTGACGTAGGTTCCCCCGCCGAGAGACTCAAGCACCCTAGCTGCGTGCAGCCTTGGAGCTGCGTGCCAGGACTCTCCCTCGATCGCTGCCAATTGATCGCTCGCGTGCCCAAGAGCCCTCTCACTTCCGGCGTGTCGTCCCCTTCCACCCGATGACTCGACTCAATAAACGCAATCGCCGCGAGCTTCGAGCGCAAAAGCGGCTGCGTACACACCAAGCGCTTGGTCAACGACCCGCCACGTCCGTACGCAGCAATGTACACTTGCGAACACGAGGCGCGCAGGCCAAACGTCTCCCACACATACCGCACGTGCAGCTCTGGCGTACTCGAGTGCGGGATCGGCATCTTCTCACTACCGACGCTCACTGTGTTCGTGCTCGGGTTCATGACCACAACGCCGTAGCCCTTGGACAGCGCCGTGTGCAGGTACGGCAGCATCGAGCCAGAGCGGTACTGATTCGGGGCGTCCGTGGCCTCCAGCACGAGCGAGCGGCTCCAAATGCCCGGCTGGATGCCATTGCCACTCACAATCACGAGCAACAGGCGACGACAGATGTGCCAATTGGCGCTCATGAAGATACTGCAGTGCGCGCGGCTCTCGACGGACGGGATACACGTCTCGACAAAGCCCAACTGCACCATCTTCTGCTGCTCTTCCAGCACGATCTGGTGCAACTTGGCCTCCATTGGGCCGCGTCTGTCGTCTCGCGAGCGCTGCTACAGACAACAGAGAGGAGAGAGAGGAGGCAGAAGAAGAAGAAGAGAAGCAGTAGAGGAAGAGGAGGATGACGAAGGGCGAGGCGAAGGACGGACGGAGGGGCCGATAGACAGAGGGAGAGAAAAGAATAGATGTGGGGGGGCAGCCGTCATGAACGTGTTCCTCCTGGACATGTGTCAACGGATGTAGCCATGCGCCCGACGTGTGTTTATTTCAGTACCTTGTTCGAAGCATCGTGCGACCTGGGTACGAACTGGCTCTATTTATGTGATGCAACGCGAGGGGGGATACGCAGGTTCAATTGCGACGAGGGGGGAGGGGGTACACGTACGTCGCTCCCCGCAGCCCTTCTGGTCGGAACGAACACGCGATAAAAAGGCCATGCCTCGACTCGAAAAAACAGCTGGTTTGAAGAAACGCACAGGTATTATTCGCACGACAACGAAAATCTGCGCGCGTGATGATCGAGTGGAGCGAATGTGTGGCCGATCCTCCTCACCTTCGCGACACCTGTCATTGAAGTTGTGGGCCACATTCGACTTGAAGAGGTCGCGAGTCTCGACGTTGCATGGAAACCTGCTTGAGACGGCTCTCGTCGTGATGGAGAAGCGTCTATCTCTGCAATAGTGTCGATGGATGGAGACGCACTCGCTCGCTCGTCTCTCTCTCTCTGCTTGCAAACACGCGCACTCCGTTCTGTGGCATTATCCATTCCGCCGCCACGTTCGTATCCGTACTCCATATGACGAAGAAGGGATCGTGTCGGGTGCTCCTCTTGCTGCTGGGCGCATGTGTGTTCGTCCATACAATAACCAGTCAATTGGTCGACGACCAAACGTTCTTTGCAGGGGCTCAGAGCCTAAACGCAAGGTCCAGTTCCTCTCAGTGGGGATCGTCGCAAAGTCCAACGAAAGTATCCGCTAGCAACGATTTCAGCCTGAGTGACAGCCGAGCGGGCAGTAAATCGAGCACCGACGGTGCATTGGAGAGCTCTGCGAGTGAAGGAAGCATGGACGATAGCGAGAGCGGCAGTTACTCTGGCTCGAGCAGCTCGAGCTTGGAGTACGAGTGCGACTGCCGATCGGTCCGTCGGGTGTCGCTCATGGGAGCCTCGGACTACTGCCTAGCACCGAACGCGTCCCTCAGCAGCAAGTGCGGCAACGTTGATCTACGTGAAGATGGTGGCTGCCCGATCGTTGGAGCGCAGCCGTGCTCTTCCAAGGGTCACGTCCTCACGAACGACTCGTTCTGCGAGCTGGACAGAAAGGATGACACGTACAAGTGCGTGGCCAGCAAGAACGACTTGGACATCCAAAAGAATGGCAAGAAGAAGAAAAAGAATGCGAACCGCCGCCACGGGTCCGAATCGGAGGCAAGCGCGTCTTCGATGCATTTGGCGCTGACGGCGCGTCAAGTACTTGCAATCGTGGCTTGCGTGGCAGTCGGCATAATGGCGCTAGTGTAGAGCGCTGTATTGACAGTCTGCGACCAGCCGCCCGTCGCGGCTACGTAGTATGCTGCAAGACCAACGTATCAACAGCACGTTGTTGAATACAATGAATTTTAGCTTTCATGCTCTGCATCTTGACGTCATTGCTGCGTTCGGTCGTCGCAGTCTTCAGCTTCAGTTGTGCTTGAGATCGTCGTTGGCCGGAAGCACAAAGTTGCGGAGTCGCAACCACTTGACAGCAAAGTAGTCTTGAGTCACGAGTAGCAGCGGCAACATGACAAACGCCTGTGCAATCAGGAGTCCCACGAGGTTCTCCGTAGGCGTGTGGAAGTACGAAGCCGTGAAAAACAGCAAGTACGCCGCCAGTCCGCCAATGATGATGATCCACGCGCGTAGCACCGTCCGTTTCATACTTGGCCCAGCACTCTCGACGTTCAGTGCAAACCACTCGAATAGCGGGATCGCCATGTAGTGACTCACAAGCAGCACGATATGATCCGAGTGGTCGAATCCGCCTGGGCAGCGCTTACCGCGCCGTAGACTGGCGTACCAGCAAGAATCGTCCGAGCGGCCCATGACCGCGCGTGTCAGCCCCTTCTCCACCTGACCAAATCCCATGTATAGCACCACTGTGCGCAGTGCCATCACTACAGCGTAAAGCAGTCCACGACGCACGTACACGCGAACGCGCGGCATACTTGCGTCCGGCCCCAGCATCATGGATCCATAGTTGAGCACCAACACTGACAATGGGATCGCCCAGGCTCCCTGCAGCAAATGCCGACAGACTGGTCACACCTAGAAGGATACTACGGACAAGGCTATGGTTTGCCAAGCCAATAAAACGTACTTTCAGAGACCCCATCACGGGCATGAGGTCCATGCCAGGGTAACAAGGGGCCGATGCATAGCCTCCCGACTCATTGGTACAGCATATAGAGGTCGAGTTCTCGGGAGCCTTTGCGTGTAGCCAATTCGAGTCGCACCTGGTCCCCACATCAAAATTTGGATATCAACTTGTTTATGTAAAATTGTGGCTTAATATAGCACTAGACATCGAAAAAAAGGTCAAAGGGACGTCACGTACTCGCCCTGTACGCGAACAAACTTCGCTGGAAAGCGATACGACGTGTACAGCACCATCAGCAGCAGCAAGACATTCACGACGAGGAACGTGCCCCGCGCATGGATCTTGTGCAGCATGAGCAGCGCCTGCTGCGCCGTCGAGAGCTTCTTCGGCGGTGTGGATTGACTTTTTAGCATGCTACTTTGGCAATATCAGCCGATTGGTGTAGCGCACACAAAGGCAAACACACGCGACAGTTGGCGTTGAAGTAAATGGATACTTTTTTGCAGGAGACGACAGACTGTCTTGCCATTCTGCAATTTCCAGTTGTTAGCACAGTCGATCGATCGTTGCTAAATCTCATGCACTTTAGTACGGAAGACGAGGTACAAGCCGTCGTGATTGACAATGGGTCTGGTATGTGCAAAGCTGGATTTGCAGGCGATGACGCGCCACGGGCTGTGTACCCTTCGATTGTAGGCATGCCAAAGCATTTGGGGATCATGGTAGGCATGAACCAGAAAGACGCTTACATTGGCGATGAAGCGCAAGCGAAACGTGGTGTGTTGACGTTGCGGTACCCGATTGAGCACGGTATTGTTACAAATTGGGACGACATGGAAAAAATATGGAGTCACACGTTCTTTAATGAACTTCGTATCGCACCCGAAGAGCATCCAGTGCTTCTCACGGAAGCTCCGTTGAACCCAAAAGCGAATCGAGAACGCATGACGCAAATTATGTTTGAGACTTTTAACGTGCCGGCCATGTACGTAAACATTCAAGCGGTGCTGTCGTTGTACGCGTCTGGCCGGACCACGGGTTGCGTGCTTGACTCTGGTGACGGCGTCTCGCACACCGTGCCTATCTACGAAGGATACGCGTTGCCACATGCGATTGTGCGCCTCGATCTAGCTGGTCGTGATCTGACGGATTACATGATGAAAATTCTGACCGAACGTGGCTACTCGTTCACAACGACCGCGGAGCGCGAGATCGTGCGAGATATCAAGGAGAGATTGACGTACGTGGCCATGGATTTCGACCGGGAGATGCAAAAAGCGGCTCAGTCGTCTGCGCTCGAAAAGACGTACGAGCTACCTGATGGCAATGTGATTGTCATTGGTAGCGAGCGCTTCCGGACGCCTGAAGTGCTCTTTGATCCGTCCATGATTGGCCGAGAGTGCTCGGGTGTGCACGAGTGTGCGTTCCAGACAATCATGAAGTGCGACGTTGATATCCGGCGGGACTTGTACAACAACGTGGTGTTATCAGGGGGGTCAACGATGTTTCCGGGGATTGGCGAGCGCATGACCAAGGAGATGGCCACACTAGCGCCGGCAGCGATGAAAGTCAAGATTATTACGCCACCTGAGCGCAAGTACTCGGTCTGGATCGGAGGCTCTATCCTGGCATCACTAGCTACCTTTCAGCAAATGTGGATCTCCAAGACCGAATATGACGAGTCGGGACCATCTATTGTCCACCGCAAATGCTTCTGATTGAGCAAAGCGACGTGTTCCAGGTACCTGTGGCGACGATTGTGTGAGGATCTTGAGGCTTAAGTGCTTCGGAGTCGACTACGTCGTTAGGTTACGTTGATGTTTAACTGCAATGCGAATTTGCGACACGACTCGACACGCGCTCCGAGCACGTCAATCATCATCTTATCATGGTCCACGTTACTGTCTCCGCCAAACCGAAGGTGTTGCCCTTGCTACGATTCAGCAAGTGGATTAGCACTCTACGTCGTGAGAGCTTATGATGATGACCTTCTCGTCTCGACTACAACGCATTACTGTCCTAGTTGCCACATAAGCAACTTACTTTATCCGACTCAGCACTTCGGGGGTATAAACCACCAACTCTTGCGATAAGAAAGCAGCGGCACTGCTTACGCGACACGTTTTTCGCTAGCTGTCTTCATCCAGCATTCACTGCGTTTCATCAGCACACATGTAACGAAGTCGCCATCCCCGTGCACTGTGATGGCTATAGCATAGTTATAGCCGTTGTCGATGCCCTTCACAAGTCACTCAGCGATAGTGCCCGGCATCAACGCTCGGAGAGCAAAAGTGCAGACTCGAAGACATGATTGGCTTGGGGGCTGCGAGGACGCGGGAGATTGTGACCACTTGAGTCCGTTTTCCGCATGGCGGAAGCACGCACTAGGGGCGGACACGATCGCCGCCCACATGGACTCGGATGTGGTGCACTGTGGGAAACGCATCCACGGTTAGTGCGATGTGCAGTTGATGTTATAGTTTCAGTTGATAGATTCCTATGCTCGAATCTAGCACATAGTCCCAGGTAGTTGAGGTTTCGAAATGTGCAAAGACCCTATGCATGTTGACCTAAACTGTTGCCTTTAATTTGTCGAGTCTAACGTCGTCAAAACAGGCGTTAACCAGATCAATATGAAGAGTCAAAATGCTGGAACAATTCCTGGCAAGGATCGAAGAAGCAGAACTTCCAAGTTTATTTGATAGAGGGTAACAGTGGGACGGGATATGGTGGCCCCATTTGCGGTGACACGGGTCATTACAGACGTGACTGTCCGAAGTTGGACGAGAAGCAGAAAATAAGCGGATGACGAAATTCTCAAGCAAATATGCAAAATCGCGAGGAAAAGTTTGGCAGCAATAAATAGCGCTGATCACACACCAAATGAAGTTCATCAACTTCATTTGGTGTGTGATCCGTGAATCGGTACGGAAAATACAAAGAAACTCTTGTGTAAATTAGTGTTTTTTGACGGGAGCACAAATACACACTAAATATGTGTTTTGGACGCGGGCACAAATGCTCACTTCAGGAAAAAACAATTTGACTACCTTCGAGGAAATGGAAGAAAGTGACTGAAATGTACAGACTTCGAGTTTAGCAGAAAAGGCAATGTAACAGTGGAAGTATATAGTACAGCGATGTTTCGAACCTAAATCGGGTATAACAACGTACATCTGATATCGATCAATGTGATCTATCTTTCTGGAGCTAAATGTAATCTGTTTTCACCTGGGTTAGCTCTGATCAAGGCAATGAAATGTCTTGGGATTCAAAGGCGCAAATATTTCGTATGAAGAACGACAAATTGGAGGTGATTCGCGATTCCCACGAAAATCCTGCAAGAATACTTGCTACGCAAATTTTGCGGTCATTAATGGCATCGAAGACCTAATTGATTGGCATGAGTGTCTAGGTCATACGTGTCCAGAACATACCTAAATTGGTCGACAGGGGGAATGGCTGAAGACATCACGTTTAAACGTCAGGCAAAGTTTTCTGCCCAGATTTCATCTTGAAAAGCAAAGACGCAAATCGTTACGAAAACCTTAGATTTTCTGATGCAGGTGCAGACTATAACTCCTTTGCGGATCTGTTGTTTCCAGGCTCAGGTGACGGTTCACGTGCTTCGCAGCCAAAATTATGGAGCGCACCCATCAGACGATTGTTAACATCATAAGACAATGATGAGTCAGGCAGGATTCCCTGTATCATTTTGAGAGCACACAGTAGAGAATTCTGATTACATCAAAGTCGGTGCGAGACGTAAAAGATACGACATAATATTTGCAACACAACCAGATGTAACCACATCCGTGTGTTTGACTCGCGGTTGTATTGATATACGCCAGATAAATTGGAACATACTTGATTCTAATTGTCAATTTGGTTTTTGCAAGGCTACACCAAAAAATGATATCGTAATTTTTAATGTCTATTGTCCGACAGAGCAAAACATGGGTCTGTATGTGAGGTAAACATCAAAGTATAAATAGAATATAGGAATCTTACGAGCGCGATGTCGAAAGCAAGTTAAATAGTGTCTACAGTCGTTCAACGACTTATTAATAAATGTATATATTATAAGCGACCTCGCAAGTGGTCAAGCAAAGAAGAGTCATTGAGAATAGCTAGAAGCGACGCTGGTTCTCTTCAGAATGTGTTGTAAAATGATGTCCTAATGGTCGATGTCGATTCAGCAAGTTATTCTGGCATCGACAAAAACACGGACAGTGATGTGCTAAGGATTTGTGCTACACCATCGAGTGATTCTACGAATCGTAACGTCCGTTCTTGGAGAAATGCTTCCGTAGGGGGGAGGTGGAGGATACTATGATGGTCAAGAAATCGATTCTGAAAGTATTTTTACACGGTGCAGGAAGGCGGAATCGTTGTGATCTCTATTGCAGACAGTGATAAGCGTCCAGACACAAATTCGATTAACACATTGATAAAGAACTTACTACAGATACCAATAATAAAAATGGGTCAGATGTTGAAAATGGTACAGAAGAGCTGTGTGATTCTCTCAGATGCGTTTTGGGCATTACTGAAGCGTATTAATATTAAAATGGCAGCATTTGAAGACGACTGCAATGACTCATTTGATCCAAGTGATACACACGAAGCCATAAATATTTATAATGACGCTACCGAGCAAAAATATATCCAGCTCCGTGTCGAGTGCTAATGATCCCGTTCAATTACATTTATCGGCCACAAGAAGACTCCAAGATACGACGGCACCAACTTAATCGATGATCTGTATCCCCCAAGCGATCACTACCTCTTGTCGCCGCTAGCATAAAGCCGACTTCAGCCGTCAACAAGGCAACGGCACACTGCTTCTAATCTACCAAGCATAAAAGGAAACCTTTACTCTGACCATGATCTCGCTGATCGATTTGCAATCGACTATGTCGCTGGCGTAGTCGGCGTCATTGAGCCTTCATAATTATCAACTCTGTGGCTTCATTTCAACGGGGTTCACATGCAACTTGGAGTAAAATTTATCTTTACGATGGCATACGATAAGTGTATCGTATGCCATCGTAAAGATAAATTTTAGTGGGTCATCACGGTTTAGGTAGGTGTACCGTGTGGTGTGCCAATATTTTAAATCAGTGTCGTTACAGGTACGAAAAATACGTTTCATACCTTACTCTAATAGAGAGCAAAACCTTACTTTTAGTAATTGAGGAGGACTTTACCCCGCTATTGATTCGTAATACGCACCATTTCCTTTTTGATCTGTTAAAGACACGTCACATGGATAAGGCGTTTCAAATCTTGTAAGAGTAGTCAAGCCTTGTTCAGGTGTAGGCTCTTGAGCACTTTGTGCTGTTATTTCGTGAATCGTCAGGTCTCTTGGACAAGGACCTTAAGCCTAAATATTGTTGATTCGTAGAGTCGATTTCATTGATAGAACTATGTTTCTCGTTGAGGAGAAAGCTTTGCTCTGGCTATGAGCTGTGCCATCTCCGCTACGTCTTTGTCCTGCTGATTCTGCTGCGCATCCGGCATCGTCAATCTTTGCTTGTGCCTTTACACCGAAACATTTGGGTCAACTTCTGGTCGCAAATATCGATATGACATGTGAGATGTGAACGCTCGGCGCAATAGCCAATTGATCGTATCGTTCAGACAAGGCAAGTGATCGTACCAAGGAAAAGGAAAACGGACAAGTGCCACGATCTGCAAGCATAAATGAATCGCAATGTCAAGATGACAGGAACACTTTACTTTGCCGCATTATCTTGGTCTTTAGATGACGAATATGATAGCGTGCCAATCGTGACATGTTAGAAAAACGCTGATCGCACGTTTACCTCTACAAAAACATCTCGTACAAGACATATCGATGGGGGTTGATTCCATGCGAGTTGGACAAATGCACTTATAGATACAACAAAGTTGTGAAGCGGGTGAGGAATCGATAAAGGCCCCGCAACGCATATCGTGTTTGGCACTTCTTGAATATAACATGGGCCTTCACGTCTAAGGCGGCTGCGCGTATGTCAAGGGCCAACGTGTTGCGACTCTATCTAGCGTTATGCCACCTAGGGTCGACATGCGTGCAGGGGCGCGCTGACAGCTACCACGCGCTCTATTTGCGTCCATTTTAGCACCTGCGAAGAAAGCGGATTTATGTCTCCTTTTGCACGCACTGAGGTTTATGACAATCAAGTGACACGACGCGAAACGAGCTGGTAATTGGTGATGAAGGCTCTCTGCAGTGTGTCGTAGAACCGTGTCATCCGATTATTTACCATACTTTTGTAAGGTTGTAAATATAAAAAATACATATCTTTGTTATAAGCTATATCGTTTAGTCGGCGATTGACTAAAACCACAACGATTAGACGCGCATTCTACTATCAAGCGGTCCCTAGGTCTAATATCTAACGCTACTAACGTTAGCGAGTGGAATTAGTCAACGACATAGCTAATGTATTCATGCATATCTACCCGTTAATTATCCACATTATGTCGAGGTCAATGTCTAGTACCGTAATGTGTACATTTGTTATGCAAAAGATTCCATTAACGGTAGTACACGATGGTTTTATCATTACGGTAGGGAAGGTGTATCTGTGCCGTTTCACAGATATAAAATCAGTGTCTTAATTAGAATTTATACCGAGGGTTGAGGAGTTTAGCCTTTTAAGAACAGATTTCCTTTTTTACCCTCTTACTCGAATAATCTATAGGTTAAAGT